TCAGTGTTTCAAATACAAAAATTAAAAACTAAAGAACATCCATGTAACCATTCAGCTTCCATAATTCTTAATTTATAACCTATCTTGTTTTCTGTAACCTCTTCCATTCCCCTCACTTAATTATTTACAGTCAAATCCCACATATTATTTCAGCCATAAATATTTCAGTAAGTATATAAAATACAAAGGTTCTTTTTAAAAAGTAACAAAAACACCAATTTTACATCTGCATTGGACAATAAACTTATCAGCATTCAAATTTTGAAAAAGTTGTCTCATAAATGCTATTGTTTTGCGGTTTTTTTGAATCAGGATCCAAACAAGACCCACACATTCCATTTAGTTATGCCTCTTAAATCTCTAGTAATTTATAGGGTCCCCTCTCTCTCCTTTTTATTTTTTCTTTGCAATTTGTTGAAGAAATGGAATCATTTATCCTGTAGAGTTTATCACATGCTGTTTTTTTCTGACTATATCCCTGTGGTCCCATTTATCATGCTCCTCTGCACCTTGATTTTCCTCTTGTAAACGGGTTAGAAGCTTTAGCTGATTCCAGCCAAATTCTTGTTGAAGGCAGATCATTTTTGTGCTGGTTGGGTTGTCCTAGGGCAGTCCTACTCAACTACATGCACCTGAACTCTATCACAAGGCACATGGGGCTACATGTTGGGACCATAGGTTCAAGCTTACAACTATAGTTGTTGGCTATAATTGTGCTGGGAGGGCCTGCCCTCCAGCTGGGACTTGCACATGGCAATGAGAGGATCCTGTCCTTTCATTAGTCTGAGGCTTGAACCTGGCCAAAACACTGTAGCCGCACCCCACTAAATATGGTGCACAAAAGTGCCATAATAAGTATACACCTCAATGAATCTTCAAAAAGTGAACCCACCCATGTGACTCGCACCCAAATCAGGAAATAGAATATTATTGGTGTTCCCAAAGTGCCTTGTGACCCCACTCAGTCATTACTCCCCAGAGGTGACCACTATCTATTTCCATCACCAAAGATTCCTTTTCTTTGTAATGAACATTCTATAAATGTAATTGTATATTTCCTCTTTTTTGTTTTTAACTATTAATATGTTAGTTACTTTTATACTTGCTTACATTGATAGCTTTCTGTAGCTAGCTTTATAGCTACAGACATAAATTATGTGGGCACCAAATCTCCTTACACTAACAACATAGATTTACAGGACATGCTTATGGAATACTCCTGTAACAGAGAAAAGCCAGCTTTGTTTATGAGAACTGTTCATGTTGTTGCCTATAGCATAGTTTGTTCATTTTCATTGCCAAATGGTGTTCCGTTCTCTGACTATACCACAGGTTCCCATTCTACAGCGATGGACCTTCTGGTTTGGGGTTATGCATAGCAATGCCATGAGCATTTGTATACATATCATTTGGTAAATATATGTGTACATTTACCTAGGAGTAGAGTGGCTGCGTCATTGGACATATGCATATATTCAGCTTTTATAGATACTACCAAGTACTGTACAATGTTGTAGCCATTGATAGCTCCCACCAGTGGGGTATGGGTGTTCTAGGTGTCAGCCTATGGTACCTTGAACAAGAAGGCAAAAGGTCTGTGTCTTTTTTAGTTTTTTTTTAATATGTTTTTATTGATTTCAGAAACGGCGAGAGAGATAGACAAATCAATGATGAGAAAAAATCATTGATCGGCTGCCTCTCGCATACATCCCACGGGGAATCGAGCCCACAACCTGGGCATGTGCCCTGACCAGGATTCGAACCATGACCTCCTGGTTCATAGGTCGATGCTCAACCACTTACCCACACCGGCTGGGCAACCTTTGAATTCTGAAAGTGCCTTAAATCCAATGTCCACTATAAAATGGCAGCCAGGTAGGACAGAGGAGAATGATTCGGAATCAGCCAGAATCAGACTCAAATTTTAGTTCAGTCTCTTACCTTCTGTGTGACCCTGGGAAAACCATGTCCTTTCTCTGAGCCTTAGTTTCCTCATCTGTAAAACAACGTTAATACCCATCTTGCTTTCAGAGTTGTCATAAGCCTAAATAAGCACTGGGACTGATAGGTCTCTAGGGAGTCCATTGTGGAAGCCGTTTCATTACTCAGCCTGTCCCCAACCCATATGGTTCACGGAGGTTCAGCTGTTTCTCATTACTTCAGAGCTTAAAACCACAGGAAGTTAAGGAGGGTAATGATTTCATGTTTTGCTTAATATTTCAGGGGGGGCGGGGCTGAAAACCCTGTCTTTTTCAAGGGCCTCTGTTTCCTTTTGAATATTTTATTCCTAAAGGAAGTATTTATTTTTTCTATGTTTGTGTTATTGATCTGAATCACATATGCCAGTCTAGCTTGGGGATTGGTCCCTCCAAGTAGCAGTGGCTGTGCAACATTGAGCTTCAAGCAGGTATCTGGGTGTGTGACATAGGTCTTTGCTGTCCAGTGGCTGCTTCAGGACCACCTGCCTCTGTGTCTTTCAGAATCCTCCCTGGAAAAGGAAAGGGAGACACCCAGTCCCATTGACCCCAGCTGTGTGGAGGTGGATGTGAACTTCAATCCTGACCCTGCCGACTTGGTCCTCTCCAGTGTGCCTGGCGGAGAGCTCTTCAACCCTCGGAAGCACAAGTTTGCAGAGGAGGACCTGAAGCCCCAGCCTATGATCAAAAAGGCCAAGAAGGTCTTTGTGCCCGATGAGCAGAAGGTAATCTGGTGTCTGTATAAGGGAAGGTACAGCATTGGTTCAAGAGCCGAGGGCTGCACTTCCTCACGTTTGATTTTATCTGGAGGTTCCTCCCTCCTATGGACACCATTTAGAAAGGCATGAGTTCAGAGCATAGGGCCATACCCTTCCTACAGCAGCTGGTAGAAAGAAAGGGAGTCAAGTCGCATTTGGCCCCAGCGTGACTCCCTGTGGCGTCTCTGTTTCCTGACTGGCTGGTGGCTGTGTTGATGTTCTTGCTTCTCTGGCTGTAGCCCAGCCTTCGGGCAAGAGCTCACTCGGCCACAGGAACTGGGCTGAACAAGCCCTTGCTTTGAAGGACAAAAGACAGTTGTATTGTTACCACCCCAGGGAGGAGCAAACAGCTTTCAAGCTGATGGTTTTATAGGAGTTGGGGTGGGCAGGGAGAGGAGCATTCTGTAGTTTTTCCATCCTCTCCTATGGAAAACTCACAGGAGGGCTTTTCATCCAAGCTTTGGAGTTAAGCAGAGCTGGGTCCAGACCCCACTGTGCCACCTAGAACTACCTGGGCCTCAGGTTCCTCATTTGTAAAATGGGAACAACTGTACCTGCCTCTCAGGAGGTTACTAAGGCTTTCATCATAATGATGATGAAAATGTAAACCTGTCTGTGATCCTTACTGTGAGAAGCACTTTGCACACATTAACTCATTTAATCCTCAAACAATTCTATGAGGTAGTTATTGTTACCCCCATTGTAAAGATGAGGAACCTGAGACATGGAGAGGTTAAGGAACTCACATGGTTCCACTGCTGGTAAGGGACAGAGCCAAGACTTGAACTCAGGAGATGGGACCTTAGCCATAACCAAAATGACTGGGCGGCAAGGTGTAGATCAGGGGTCCTCAAACTACGGCCCGTGGGCCACATGCAAATACAAATATTGTATTTGTTCCCTTTTTGTTTTTTTACTTCAAAATAAGATATGTGCAGTGTGCATAGGAATTAGTTCATAGTTTTTTTTAAACTATAGTCCGGCCCTCCAACGGTCTGAGGGTCAGTGAACTGGCCCCTGTTTAAAAAGTTTGAGGACCCTGGTGTAGATAGTGCTTTATGTTGGAGCAGCACAGAGCAGGCTCCCAGTAAGTGGAGGCCCCTTCCCTCCACTGCTTCCTCCCAGATGGCTGTTTCTCATCCTGGCAAAGGGGAGGGCCCCTTGCTGTCCTTGGCACATGCATCTTCCCTGGGTCCCGCTTCCGTTCTGACTGCACCAGATGAGTGATAAGAGGAATCTGGGGTATGGTTTGCTGGCAGGAGGTGAGAGGCTCTTGAACCAATGCTGTACTTTCCCCTTGTGGGGAAAGAGGAAAGACTAACAGAGGAACTTCCCCACAGGATGAAAAGTACTGGACAAGACGCAAGAAGAACAATGTGGCTGCCAAACGGTCCCGGGACGCACGGCGCCTGAAGGAGAACCAGATCACCATCCGGGCGGCCTTTCTGGAGAAGGAGAACACGGCCCTGCGGACGGAGGTGGCTGAGCTACGCAAGGAGGTGGGCAAGTGCAAGACCATCGTGTCCAAGTATGAGACCAAGTACGGGCCCTTGTAACTCATGCCTCGCCCAGGCCGCGCTGCCTACACCCAGCCTCTGCCTGAGGGCTCCCTGAAACCCA